CTTGTGTTGGTGGTAAAAACACACACACACACACACACAAGATGCTCATTGCAAATAATTCTACTCTGTCCTTTGAGGGCAAGAGATCCCTTGAATTTAAGAGAGGGGCCTCTCTTCCATCAGTTTGGGGAGATTAAGATCTCCCATGGGTCCAGCCACTGGAGTTTGCAGTCAGTTTAAGAAAGTCAGCCTGGTGCTAGATCTTTTCTTAAATCCCAACAGCTGAAACATTCTTTCTCCAGGAAAACACATGACTGAGCAGAACTGAATGGGGCACGAGTGGTCCCCCGAGCTCTTGCACACATAGGAACAGCAGCACGCACACACACACACACACACACAGACACACACGAGCAGCTCCCAGGAGCCCATTATTCAGCCTCACCCTGGAAATTCCCGGCCATTCATTTCTTTGTTTTTCTGCCTGGCCTCACCCATTTGGGAATGTACTGAGGGCACAGGCGAGGGGAAGGGGACTTGTGGCAGGGGCAGAGAGTGAGGAGCCTGTAGGCAGCTACCGCCCACAGGACACTGCAAGCCTTGAGGGGGATGCAGTGGGCTGGCCTGGTGCGGGGGCAGGGCTGCGGGGGGGGGCTCTAAAACTTTGGCTAGGTGCCAAATCCCTAATTTGGAGGGCAGTACAGGGCGAAGGAGGCAGGTAGGAGAGGAAGGGTGGGTGGGGGCAGGGACAGCAGCTTGAAGGTGCAGAGCCCCAGCCCTCCCACCCCTGGAGTCTGGATCCAGTAGTTCTGAAGTGGGATCGGGCATCTATACTTTTAAGAATCTGTGGCTCATACTTTCAGAAACGGTGGCTAAGATTCAAGTGCTGGAGAAAGACTCCAGGTCACATCCCATCTCTGCTGTGTGACCCTGGGCAAATCATGTGTGCTTTGAGAGCTTTACGTTCCTCACCTGTAAGATGGGGACGTTCTATGCAAAGAACTTAGCGCAGTGCCTGGCACCGGGCTCCCGCCCCAGGCCACTGGCACTACTCAGGGGACACACCGTCCTCCAGGGGCCTCGGTGGGGGCAGGGAACCGTTGGGTTCCGCGAAGAGGCAGCTGAGCTTGGGCTTCAGGTCGTTCCACACCTTGCTCATCTCCTTGTGCCCTTGGATCTGTGAGTTGACAAAGGCCCCGAGAATGTGGGAGGTGAGGGGCAGGTAGATGTGGACCAGCTGCATCTCCTGGTGCAGGCAGTACAAGGAGAAGTAGCTCCGAAGCTTTGGCTATTATTATCCGCCATCATGGCTCAGAGACTTGACAGGCCCAATCGGAGATTTCTGAGTCTCCAGCAAACTCTGCCTGAATCTGGGCACCACCTGAGCTGGAGTGTAGCTCCATAAGCGAGAGAACACAGAACATTCCAGGATCTCTGGGGAACTGCTCTGGCCTGAGCCCGAATACAAGTTTCTCCCACCCTCCATCCTCTTGGGGAGCATGAGAAGTGTAAACCTTACCTAAGGATGTGATTTAAAAAAATCAAACAAAGCAGGGACACCTAGTTTCATTGCCAAGCCTCTGCTGGTGTTCCGTGTTGCAGGAAGGATGGGATTCGGGGAGAGGCTGAAGACCTGTGACCTCGTCTCTGAGCTCCTCATTGGGGGTGGGAATGGGTTGGAGGGGGCACAGGGAGAGCGGCTCGCTGCTGAAGAAAGTACTAGAATTTATAGCTTGCGAAGGGGCAGCAAACACAGACTCCCGCAGGAACCTCAAACCCACGTGTCTACAGGGTTTGGCAGGTAGTAAAATGAAGGAGGAAGCCAGCAGGGTAGAAGCGAAGTCATGTGCCCATTGTGATCTGTTTTTCCTTGTCCCGCTTTTGGTGGAGACTCGGGCTGGGACAAAAATATCCTCGATCTGAGACAAACGAGAGAAGGGCCATCATGAATGGCATGGCCTGATGTGGCCACAGGCTCCAGGAGCACGAAGGGGTGGAGGGGATGCCAGAGGATGTGGGGGGCAGGGTGTCTCACCCTGGCCTCGCCCCAGCTCCAGAGGCAGCCGCTGCTTTGGGGCCCACCCACCCCCTGTCCAACTGCCGGTCACACACCTGGTGGGACCAGACCTTCCCAGTCACGGAAGAGTGGGTTCGTGTGTGTAATTTCCTGGTTTTTAAATGCTGTCTCTGATTTTTAAAAACCCCGTGTATACATCAAACCTAAAATGCCACTGGTTGTGAGACATTCTGATATTTAATAAACAACTAGTAAAGAAAACAAGACCTGTCGATTAAACTATGACAAGCCATTGTAAGACAAACCCCAATCCCAAAGATATCACAATGTGGAAAAAATGCGCACCTTCGGATCCATGAAATACTGTGTAATAAGAGGCTGGACTTGGTCTGTGACACCTGGTGCAGTTCCCAACCTGCACAACTGTACATGGCAGCTCTTGGGATGCCACCCTGGGACACTGGAGGGCTTAGGGACCACCAGGAGGTTTGTGTTTGGGTCATATCTCTGAACACCCAAGTCCCTGGAGAAACAATCGCTTTTGATCTTTATCTGGACCAGCAGTGAGTCAAGGCAGCAAAGAGGAAAATGTGGCCAATTTGCTCCCAGGGGTCATCAGATCACTAATGGTGATACCATGGCCCCTGAGATGGTGGTTTAGTAGTCATAGGGAAGGGTGGGGTGGCTCCATAAGGGATTCTGATTCCTGCCAGGGATGGGAACCACTAGGAGAATCCTCACATCTGATTTTATACAGGCTCAGAGAGGTAAAGGCCCTGCCCAGTGTCACACAGCTGGGCAGAACAGAGCCAGGCCAGGGGCTCAATCCTCCTCACCCTTATCCCCAGTGCTGCTTCTCCTGCTGACTGTAAAAGTTCCTGCCACTCTGCCCCAGGCAGGCTGGACCCAGAGATTCTTGGCCCTTCCCTTGTTCATTGCCCCTGAGGCTCCGGTTGCTGAGCCTGCCCTAGAAAAAGCTACGTTATTCGATTCACAAGACTTTTCCATTTTATTAGTAAAATACAAAATGGCACAGACATTGGTGATAGGGTTGGAAAAGCAAAAGGATCAACCAACTCCTTCCAAGGTTCCCCCCAAATTGTCCTTGTCCATGTCCTGCTTGGGGGAACTAATCAAATCCGTGGAAGGGGGACTAGCTGCTCCCAGCTAATTGCTCACAAAAGTAGGGGAGCCCCATTCTGGGGGCCCCACCCATTGAAGGCTCTCCCACCAGCCTCGAGGAGCCCCCCAAAGTGCATTCAGACCAGCTGCCCACCCTCTGAGCCGTCAGAGTGCCCCCCACTAGAGCCAGGCCTCAACATCCCAGGTCATGTCTAGCAGGGGGTGCAGGAGGGCTGGGTGGACTCAGGTGGCCGCCCCCTCTCTGTGGACCAGAGCTGTGTCTGCTTCCTCTGAGCATCTATCTGCCAAGTGGAGTGTCACCCACCCTGGTCCGTGGGAGGCTCCCCAGGTGGAGGAGGGCAAGGGTCACCTACGGAGACCTTTGAGGAAGGTGGGGAGCTGCCATCAGGGACCCTGAGGGGTGAGGCCAGCAGCCAAAAAGGGAACCCCTGACTTTGTGCCCACAACTTCCCTCCCCGCAGGATGGAGTATCTTTCAGAGGTAAACACGAAACCTCAGGTTTCAACGGTGGATTCTGATCTCGTGGAAAATGTCCTGGAAATCCCTAGCTAGCCCTGCCTGTGGTGGGCAGTAGGGTGAGAGAAGATCCTGGAATGGGGACAGCAGTGTTTTTAGGGAGCGAGAGACGGGGGGGGCGGAGGGGGGCGGCTGGAAGCCAGGCTGCAGGAAAGAAACAGCAAACGCGCAGGGCCCAAGTCCCTGACTCGGGCATGGAGCTGCTCCCAGCAGCCTCCCTACCCCCGGTTCCTTTCCCTGAGCACCTCAGCCTTTCCGGGAGCCTGCAGGCCTTCCCTCCTCCTCAGCCCGTCCCACAGGCTGTCTCCACGTCCCTGCGAGCCTGGTGGACTCTGGGAGGGCTGCTCTCCAAGCCAGGCACCGGCGTGCCCCTCAAGCACCCCCCCAGTCCTCACTCAGGGGGCCCACAGAGCTGACTCCCTCCCACGGAGCAGGACCTGAGCTTTCAGATCCCTTCCTTGCACACACACACACACCCCACCCCCCTCCGAAGGCACAGGGCCCACCAATGTGCCAAGCTCCCTGATGGGTGAAGCCCGGCTAAGGTATTCGGTTGTGAGGCTACACCCCTGGTCTGGGAAAAGGGGTCTCTGGATCAATGAGTGATGCCCATCAGGGTACAGGTTATTGTCACACATTTGCCACATCTCTTTCCTTCCATAGATGGAAAACCAGAGGTACGAATGTCCTGCTGGGTTGGTGGTGGACCTGGGACGAGAAGCCCAGCCTTCACACCCACAGCCGAGGTTCTGCCAATGCACAGCATTGACTGAGGAGAAGAAAAGCAATCCAAGCCACCCGGTCACTTCACGTCCCCTTCCCACAACGCCTAACGGAGGGCAGAGCCTTCCCGGGAGCAGTCCCAGGGAACACCACACTAGGCTCATGCAAGAAAAGACAGGTCCCCGGCTGGGTGTGGGCTCTGTACAGGGGATGGGGGAGATAGCACCGCAGGTGGCCGGGGTGACTGGCGACTGCAGCGGGACCGAGAGACACAATGAGATCTGAGGGAGCGGGCAGAGGGGGCCTGGCCTGAGGCTCATCTGTGAGACGGGGATGTGACCCAGAGGGGCTGGGCATTTTCTAATAAATAATTGTTCATCGGGTCTGGGACTGTCACAGGGAACCTCTCACCAGCCAGCAGCAGAAGTTTCCTGACTTGGGGACATTGGGGTGAGTTGCAGAGGCCACCACTTCTGTCCCCAAGGGGTCAACAGTGGTCAAGTGTGGCCTCCTGGCGTATGCCCGGGAGCCGGGAGCCGTTGCGTGTGGAAGATCCTGCCTCCTCGCTCTGATCACCCCAGCTCAGGTCAGGCCCTTGGGTGAGGGTGGGTGTGAGGACAGGGGACCCCAGGCAGCTGTCGGAGTCGAACAGCTGGAGGCAGGCAGGGGGCCAGCTCACACCGGCACCAGGACATAGGAGTTGCTGCCACAGCTCCGGGGGACATAGCGAAGCCCCTCCACCATGTCCCCAGCTAGCTTGCGGGGGCAGCCCTGGAGGCTCTGATAGGCAAACATGGCCACCCCAAGGCAGAAGAGGAGGCCAAGGAAGGCCAACAGCCCTACCGCCTGCCTCCGGGTAGCTGCCTGTGAGTCGGGGACAGGAGTGATGAGGACACCCAGCCTCTGGGGGTCCACGGTGGCATGGATGGGCTCCTCCGCCTTGGAGGTCCAGCTGCCTGAGGCCACTGGCTCCCTGCTGGGGACCCTTTGAGAGGAGACAGGGACCATGGAGAGATGGGGTGTGCCGTCAGGCCCCCCGAAAGTATCCGTGTGAGCTGAGATGGGATCCATCTCCTCAGGCCCTAGGGAGTTCTCTGGCATGGGATTGTCTCCTGTGATCCATACAGGCTGGCCTTCAGGGCCAACACTGTCCTCTGAGGCTCTGTGTGAAATAGTGGGGGTGTGGGTAGGGGGGGCCTGGGTAGGGAGGGTCTGGGTAGGGGGGGCCTGGGTAGAGGGGGTCTGGGTGGAGGGGGCCTGGGTGGGGAGGGCCTCAGAGGACTTTCCCCCTGTCCAGAGGCCTGACCCGGGTTTGTAGGCAGGAGAACTCTGCCAGGACGTTGCGGTGGTGAGGGTAGCAGCGTTGAAAAACTCAGTTGTCTGGGACCCAGCTGGAGGTCCTCCATCCGGAGCCTTTGGAGTGGAGGGGAACCTGGTCCCCCAGGAATCAGCCACTCCTGTTGGCAGCTCTGAGGAAGTCCCCGAGGCCCTCTGTGCCTCCTGGCCACTGTTTTCCTGGGTGGATTTGGGCTCTGTGACCGCAGGCCTGTCCATTCCCCTGGTGGCCGGGGTGGTCCTGGGCTCACCCACACCGATTTGCTTCTCGAACGTGCCGCCATTTTGAACTGGAACAGCTGTCTGGCGTTCTAGATGTGCTATGGCTTTCTGAACCCATATCTCCTTTGGATCAGCACAGAAGGTTCTGTTCTTTATCGTCCTCAAGCTACAAGGAAGGAAAACAGGGAGCCAGTGATGCCCAGAGGCCACATGGAGTAGAAGCATCAAAAAAATGCTCTGCAGGTGAACAGACCCGGCTGGAAACCCTGCTCCCACCCCTTATTAGCTGTGAGCTGTGAGCTGATTAGCTCAGGCCGCTTGACTCCTACAACTTGCGTGTCCTCACCTGAGAAATCGAGATAGCATACCTACCTTCTGTAGGGTGACCAGCCTCCCCAGAAGAGCTGGGACTGAGGGGGGTCCTCAAGATACAGGACTTTTTGTGAAAGTCCCAGAAAACTGGGGCAAGCTGGTCACCCCACTTTGGTGTTATTGTAAAAAAAAAAAGAAAAGAAAATTATGTAAAACACCCAACTCAGAGTAACAGCCAAAAATGATAACATTGTTAATAATAATAATGTCTTCACCATTAAGGCAGGGGGCTCTGGGCTGTGCCTTCTGATTGGGGGGAGCTGTCCACCAGTGTTCCCTGCTGCCAGGTGTATGACTGGTGAGCTCTGGGGTGGGGCCTCCTTTCTCTGGAAGGAGCTGACCCAAATGTCCCTTCCTCTGCTCCCTCAGTTACAGGCTGCCCTCTGGACCTCTACCTCTTAGTGTGTCTCCTCGGGCCGAAAGCACACTAAGTGAGCTCCAGCCACATATATGGGGGTCCCATTGGGACCTCGAGTGCCGTTTAAATCTTGAGCTTCCTCGGAAGCTGGGTGTGGCTGGCTCACTGTCAAGAACACAGCTCAGAGCTGACAGGAGCTCATGCTCCACACCTCTGTGCTAGGCATTTTGCCTACTTAAACCTCCCACCCATCCCGAGAGGTGACTATGGTGACCATCCCCATTTTACAGATGAGAAAACCGAGGCTCAGAGAGGTCATGTGAATGTGCATGGCTCTGGTTTGCTAGGGAAACCAGAGAAGTGCAGGAAGCAAGCATAACGCTTCAGGCTCCCAGAGGCGAGGTGCGGCTCAGGGCCATGGCCCCCTCCCTGGGGCTTCCCATTTCCTCTTTACCTAGAAAACAGAAGCAAATAATTGGGGGAGTCTGGGGGGGAAGCAAGCCTCAACAGGCGAGGGGAGGAGAGGTTAGGCAGTAGCCCCCATGCCCCTCTTAGCAGCTGCACGGTCGGCGGAATGAAGCACACGACTTCTTTTTGCTGAGCCTTATACTTCAAGAACCTGCCAGCCATTTCCTGATGCCAGGCCCGAAGGCCAGTCTGTAGACCAGCCCGAAGTCTCAGAAGGATCCTGTTTCCCCCACAGTCAAGTATGGATAATAATCTCTGGTATTGCAACAGCTTCCGGGCACCCTGCCAAGCTGCTTATTTGCATTATCCCCTGTCATCCTCCGAACTATCCATTTTACAGGTAAGGAAAACTGTGGCCCAGAGGGTAGGCAACTGGACCACCCCCCCCACCCCACCTTGTAAGTGATGGGGCCAGGATTTGCACCACATTGGTTGGAGTCTGGAGCCTGCGCTCTGAGACCACCATGCTTGATGTCCCCAAGAAATCCACCAGGTTCGACTGCCACCTGAAACACACCACCCGCCGTGGCTGTCCCAGGCCCCAGGCCTTTCAGGAAACTGCTCTCAACCTTTACCCTCGGGGGCAGATATTAAGGTCAGCCGTGGGCCAGGAGGCAGGGGCAGGAGGAGCAATTTGCTGAGGCCCTTGGCAGGAGCCCAGATGAGAAAGAAAGATGTGGATGCGGATTCACAGAGGCCAGGAGGCCAGTACCTACATGATGGCAGGCTTGCCGCAGGATTCTTGATTTCGATGGTAGTGGTCTAGTAAGGCCACGGGAATCTCCGAGGTCATCCTGTTGCAGGTGATGCTGCATTTCTTCACACCGAGGTGCTGTCCTGAGCCCACAGAGGCCCCCAGTCAGCAGGACTGTCCAGGGGCATCTGGCTTCCCAGTCCCAGGCCAGCTCGTGCCAGCCACACCATGCAAGCCACAGCCGCTGCCCTGCACACCCTCGTCTTCAGCGCCCTTGACCTCAGCCCCCCTGCCCCCCTCCCCCACCAAAAAAAAAAAGCCTCTCTATGCCTCAGTTTCCCCACCTGTACAATAGAAACAATGATAGTATCTACCTCACAGCGATGTTATAAAAATTAATGAAAATGAATTCTTACTTATAAAGCTCCTACTCCCTGGTGAGTAGTGAGGGCTTAATTTTTATAAAATTAAGTTGTCGTTGGTCAGTTGTACAGAAGAGAGGACAAGTCTGAGAGTGACAGGGATCTGCCTGAGGTCACACAGCCAGCAAGTGAGGGAACGGGCTCTCCTACCAGGCCAGGTTCTGGCCCCTTCTGGGCCCATGGCTGTATGCACCCCCCACACCCTCTTTACCCCAGTAAGTCACCTGCTCAACTATCGCCCCCGACCCTCCACCCACCACATACACACCCCATTCCTCCCTGTCAGGCTGATCCATGTTCGTGGATTTCCACGACCTCTGAGACACACGTCATATGCCCACCCTATGACACATCCACATGCATCCACACACACCGACAAACAGGACGGCACATATGTACCCGCCCCTCCAAAACCACGTAAAGGCATTCATATGATTGGGCACATGGAACAAATAAAAAGTGTTAAATGTGGAAGTATAGTCACCTTCGGAGGAGGCTGGGGGTGGGGTCCAGTGAGTAGGGGACCCTTTGTTCTGCCCGTGAAGAGCCAAGATGAGTTTGGCAGCAGTTGCTGAGGGGAACTGAGGAGGTCATTTGGAGTCCCCTGGGCAATTTAGGGGCGCAGGAATAAGGAGGAGGGGTGGAGATGGGGGTTGTGCAAGGGGTGAGGGGCTGAGGGGGGTGGCTAGGGGCCCGCTGATGGCACAGAGCCAGAGAGAAACCCCAGGACAGGAGGGGGTGACTCAACAGACAGTTGAGAGCCCAAATATTTTTTAAAGATTTATTTATGGGGCACCTGGGTGGCTCAGTCGTTAAGCGTCTGCCTTCGGCTCAGGTCATGGTCCCGCATCGGGCTCCCTGCTCCGCGGGGAGCCTGCTTCTCCCTCTCCCACTCCCCCTGCTTGTGTTCCCTCTCTCACTGTGTCTCTCTCTGTCAAATAAATAAATAAAATCT